ATGGCACGTGTAGTTATTACTAATACACAGGACGAAGTGCTGTTCAATCCAAGGAGCACAACCCATTACTGGAAAAACCTTGCAAAGTAAAAAGATTTGATAGTTGCAAATGTGGCTCCCTATGTATGGAACTAATGCGGCAACACAAAAAATATGCTCCTCCAGAAATCAGAGCGAAAATTCCCTTGACTGTGTGAGTATTTTTCACTATCAACAGTCCTAATTTCCTCTAGGAACAACCTTCGTAAAACAATGAAGCAGCTTCGAAATTATCCGGAATGTCCGAGAAGTGACATTGTCTTCAAAGCAACAATTTCTCCTCTGCACAAAACTTTTACATTATGTCTCCTACTATCATAGAGAAATTAATCTTCTTCACAGTAGGTGGAAATTACTGAAAATCAGAAAAAAATCTCAAATTGATATATTGATGACCAGTTCAAATTCTGGCTGTGAACAGTGTATAACATGAAAGAATATTCAACATTCACATTCGAATCTGCCTGTTACAGTTCTGACACGATACCTTGACTCGCTTGAGAGGGGCATTCATCTTTGCACAAGAGTGTCTTCAAATTCGTCTCGGATAAATCTGAAAACAGTGAATAGGTCTCCCCCGTCCCTAAGCGGGTTAGGAAAGTTGCGGATCCGAGCGCTTCGAGTATTCTTCGGCGGTAGGGATTGAAATTACCGCAACAATGATACTCTTCTCTACCCTGCGAGCAGAAAGGTTTTGATTGCATTGACAGCAGTGGAAACTCTCAAACTCGGCTCAGACTGTTGCTTCGGTTACTTCTTATATTCAGACCATTCAGGAACGGTCCACCGCTTGGAAAACGTTCAGGGGCCGTATGCAACAAGCCCCGAAAGTCGTCGGGGACGAATACCCGAGCGACCTTCGGGGCTTGTTGCATACGGCCCCAGATGATACCGCAAAGCACTGTTTTGTACAACTCAAAATGCTTCTGGAAGACGTGCATGGAGATAGCTAGTCACTAAAATAAGGATAATAGTAAGAGCGCGAAAAAATCAAAGAAGAAAAGGGAATGAACTCGGTTTCAATAGGATACTCTTACTCTGTGAAAAATCTGGCCGAAATTCGTGAAACGGAAGGATATGTGGTTGTTAGCGAAAAAGCGTGAGAGGAAAAGTAATCGAGGAAACTTCCGCTACTTATTCCAAAAAAAATCCTTTGCAATTTCCGCACTTCTGAACGCTAGTGTGCGTACAGGTGAGGGGGGAGGGCCAAAAAAAAGTCACTTTGCCCAAGACGCACATCATCAAACTTCTTGTTGCAAAGACTGCCGCTATAATTCGGAGTTTTGCGTCGATATATTCTTAGAGGTCCCTCCATGAGCAGAAGCAGGCCCACCTTCACTGCCTTCACCGTCTCCGGAATATGACGTCATCCTTCATCACCGTCGAGCTCAAGGAGGCCTACAATAATCGCTCCATCCTGAGGCTGCTACGTATTTTCTTCAACCGGATAAGTGGTGAATAGTTAATCAGAGACACTGCTGTGACTATGCAAGATAGCTTTTGACTAGCGCCTCGGAGTCGTCGTAATCGTCTAGTTCCCGTGCCAAAATCTTCTGATGTCGTTGGTGTAGAGGAACCCTATGTAATTTTTCTGATGGAATAGAAAGTGCTCTTCAATAAGCGGATGGGCTCATTTGGTTTGATTATGGAAAGAAGCAGTTCATTTTGCTTTAACATGGGTGGAAGTGACTCCTTTTTTTCGCCCCTCCCCCTGAATATGCGGGGAAGGCTAAAAAATGCGACACTTCATCATACATTTGAAAGGGTGTCAACACGAGTTGTTAAATTAAAACCGGGGGCTCCAAAATGGACATGAAGAACTCATTTCACTCTGTAAAAGAATATCATGATAGCCTCCTTCATCGATGAAGTCAGAAGAAATTGCCATGAGAATTTTGTGCACGGTTCAAGCTCAACGTGAGACTGGATCGTGGAATATTATGATGTTGTCTGGAACATTGGTCGGAAGGGGTGCTGCACTGTCAGAGCTAGTGCTTCTGAGAAGATATCCATCAGTCAACTGACTGATGAGCTGTGTAGCTGCTTCAGACTCCTTGAGCTATGCAGCGATTGCAGACGACGTCATATTCCGAAGACGATGAGGGCAGTGAACAAGTTCTTGCATCTGCGTATGTAGGGATACTTCAGGGGAGTTTTCTGAACAACTCTATTAGCCCCGGCAAGAGGCGCGAGCCAAAGCTCGTGATATGCACCGCGAGCCAAGCGCTTCTTTTCTAGCCACAATTGTGTAAGCAGTTTCCAAGAATGGAAATATCATTCCGACATTCAAGATAAAAAAAAGCATCGCCAGTTGTTGAAAATTTAAAAAATTACAGTTCATCTCCTGTGAAGAGCTCCACAAATAGATACACATGAAGATGATGAAGAAAACAGTGACGGGAAAATCTTCTGAGCCATGTTATTGTGGCACGCATTTATTTGAAAATTCAGGGCTACTTTATTCAGTTCGCAGTAAAACAAGGACAACGCGCATTCTGAACGTTAATCGCCGTTTCAACAATCACTCAACTGAAAGCAGCGAAGGGTGGAGGTGGGAATTAAAGTCCGAGAGATCCATTGAAAGCATGAAAGCAGATCAACCTCCCTGCTCTCCCTGGAAGTTTAAAAATCCAATTCCTTGGGATGCGCCACGCCCTTGGCCTTCGCTCACAGTCAAGAGGCAACCTAAATGTGCATGTTTTCCCACATTGTTTTATACACTAATCAGGTAGCACATATCACCACTGACGAATACAACTTAAATGCGTGCCACAATAACATGGCTCAGAAGATTTTCCCGTCACTGTTTTCTTCATCATCTTCATGTGTATCTATT